AATTTTATTACAACGCTTAACATACTTCGAACTCGATCTATCCGTTTCGAACATTGTCCTAACAATAATGAACATGAAATACCGATAACAACGGGGGATACCAAGCATCGGGCTCACTATCGCAATCCAAAATGGTCTCATTCACACTGCATTCAGTCTGGTGCAGCTGAATTGTCAAATAAGGCAATTCCTCTCAAAACTCTAGGGACTCTAAACAACGACAGATTTAGAAACATTTTTAATTATAGATATGTATTAACAACATAAAAGTTCTGTATAGGACAAGCACAAATAAAACTTTATGGTTCACATGATCAATAAAATAGATCCCTCCTAACGTAGGCGTGCATCTGCTACTGAATCTAAATCACCATTTTGGTAAATACCCAGCCTGAAATTCGGGTTTTCCATGTTTTTCATGCTGACATCGAGTACTAAAACATATGACCATGTTTCTGAACTATGCCCACCACGTGAAAGGAAGGCAGCCATCCACAGAACACGGTCAGAGGGCCTGGAAATGGGAATTGACCACAGGGAATTGTTGGGTTTTGGGGCTTTTAACATAAATGACAGAAAAGATTGAAAGAAAGTTAATGTGTTTATTAACTATTTATCAATTTTCAAATATTATACTAAAAAGAAACTACGAGATCGTAAGCCCCGTTCAGTTAGTCCAGCATTGGACCAAGTGAATAACTGTGTAAATTAGGCAAGTTGGTTCAGGCAACGAGGCCATAGAGGCTCCACACTTGTCTCAGCCAAGTCTTAGCCCTTTCGGGCAAAGAGAAGACCCCACCGACCTGAAAGAGCAGACCCCACCGACCTGAAGATTACAAATTCCCGAGTCTGCATCTCTGCAGAACATGGCCCGGGGACAAATTCCTGATGACCATACATTCTAAGGTGACCAGTATAGTTACAGACAGCAGTAAGCAGAAGATAAGATAATAGTAATAAAGGAGATAAAGGTGGATGAGAAGGAAGTGCTGGCATGCTGCGGTAGCACCCAATTCGCTAAGAAAATGGCAATGGCATCTCCATTTCCTTCACTGGGTCATGCTATCTATAAAGCCAAGGATATCTGGCTCGACAAGGTCGCTTCTTTCATGTCCTTTTTGGTTTAAACGTATATCATCAATAATCTATTATTCTTATTCAGTTTCTGCTAAGCAACAATCATAATAACTATATTTTTTCGAGCATTTTAAATCAATTACAAGAGAGTATATGTGTCCTACTTTAAATCTGGATAAATTAACGCACACCTGCAGATTAAGTTACATGAATTCAGATCACTTAGAGGAATATGTCCCCTTTACCAACTCATTTTCAGATTGGAGATTCCCCTTCTTCTCATACAACCAGTGCACAGTTAGTGTTTATTCCTTTTTGGTCATGGCTATTAGCTAAATATTTTGCTTTTATCTTGATCTTATCATTCTATATACTATTTGTTTCTGTTATGAATCATCATCACCTGCTAACCCAAGTTGATATTACCTTTTTTTATTCCTGGGTGAGTTTGGTTCACGGAATGTAAGATTATCAGTGGGAATGTAAGATTACCAGTGAATAAGATTACTGGGAATGTTGTATTTTGTGTTTGGTTGGCTTAACAGGAATGTAAAATTACCGTGTTTGGTTAAAGGAATAAAATATTATTGGAATGTATATTTGACCAAATTGTCTTTATTATATATTTGTATAATATTACAAGTTGAAAAATATTTATATATTTTCTTTAAAAAATTTAAATTCATAATATTTATATAATTTTTTTACAAAATTAAAAATATAAAAAAAGTTTAATGAAAGGGTAAAATTTTATTTTAATCCCTGAACTTCATATAAAATTTTAATTATAGATTTTTTTTAAATCTAAAATAATTTACGGATAAATTTGTAATTTAACATTCGTAGAATTTTTATCATTCAATCACATAAAAAGAATATTTTTTTTAAAAAAATAATAATTTAATGACATTTTAGTCCAAAACGCCGGTAATCCAACAATACCTAAGGAAATGGAGGTAATGACATTCCCAGTAATATACCCCAAAAAATCCACTATTGGTAATCTTTCATTACCGGGAATGGGATTCCCGACCTAACCAAACGGGAAAATGTAGATTCTATTCCTATGGGAATCCCACATTCCCCATCCAAACACCCCCTAAATTTAAGCCATGTGACCGGCTAAAAGTTACCATTTTCCTTTCTCTTGACCAAACATTTTAGATTTTATTTGTAATTGGATTTTCAATTTGCCTTGTAGTGTCTCCTCTAAATTTAAGCCATGTGACCCGCTAAAAGTTACCATTTTTTCATCACCTGCCCAATTACAAGTATTCTTTGAAATTATCCTCTCTTAAAAGTATGAACAATCAACTGCTTTAGCAACTGCACCTGATGCTGGGTTACTGGTTGGACTTATGCTTCACTTGAACAACTAAAATATGTTCAGGCACTGAAAACTTGGCTCTCAAGAAACACCATTGCCGAGCTCTGCACCCTCCCACTGTACATAGTTAACCATGTAAGGAATGATCATCTTGTCCTTACATGAACTATCCGACCGGAATGCTCAGTGTAGGCAAAAATTCGGACATGTATTTCTAATCTGTGCAGCTGGGAGGAGTTCTGCTGAGATACGTGGTGAATTATTTTAAACTTTGCTCTTGCAGAACAGGTGCTCAAACAGGCACATAGTTGAGATTGAGAAAGCATCTCAGGAGCACATGAAAAATAACAGAATTACGCATTAGAAAGCTGTTCTCGACTAAAACGAAAGCGGATTCAGCAAGCAGACAGTATTCGTCTGTAGTAGCAAGTAAAGCTGAAAGTAATTTTCACTTTCCCTTTCATTGTTCATACAATGATCCTCAACACTTGCATTATGTTTTTGGCGTGTACCAGTATGAGTGGGAATATACACTAAGAGACATAAGCTCTATGCCTACCAATACCAATGCAATGTTCTTGCATTAGATGAACTAGAAGCTAAGGAGATTCATCCAACCTTGGTAAATCAAACGAGAGATCATGACTATTCGAAGTAAGTCAATCTGCACAATAGTTAGCGTCTCTTAAACACGTTGAAGAACACAATTCCATCCTTAACACTATTTGTTGACAACGAAGAACAAAATCTCTTTATGAATCCTTATCTTTCAACTCTTTAAGAACCTTTTTAACCGCCATTGTTGAGTCAGACTAGCAAAAGCATGGTACTTGAAGGATCTTCAACGACGGGAGGAGATGGTGGGAGTGGTCAGTTAGTGAGCATGGTATACGGTCTCGGCCGCAGAGCATACCGAATAAGTTTTAACACCGGTAAGTATAACCTGGAGGCTTTTCCCCTTATGTCTCAATTATGTTTGAAACCAAAGAGACACGGACATTGGAGCACTTTCACGTCTCCTCTGCTGCTTTCACCATTCTCCTTAACTTTCCAAGGGAGCTAGTTGAACCATATGGTTTATAAATAATCGACGGATACATTATCGAAATCTCCTCCTCCGTGGTTGTTACCGTTACAAAGGAGTGTTGTATTAGACCAATCACATGATGATGGTGACACGTATCACTAACGGATCTGCTTCGGATGGCCAAAATAAAAATAGTATATAGTTTTAGTGGCTATTTGGCAAGTTTTTGAATTTGAGTGATCAAAATAAAATTTTTTATAGTTTGTGCTTCACCCACTTTATATGTGAATTCCATCGTCACAAGCACATGGAGTGCAAACTCTAATAATTGATTTTAATTCATTTTTTAAATATATTGATATCAAAACAAACTATCACTCGGCTATTATTTATAAAAGAAATATATGTACAACTAATAATAAAAAAAATTATATCTCATAAAATAAATAAATTAAACAAATAAACCAAATCACTTCTCTATTATGAGAACATATCAAATATAAAATTAAATCAAACTTATATATGATGAAATCTAAATTTAAGAATTCAACATTTCAAGCATTGTGTCCATTTATGTAGGACACATATTTCATAGTGTCCATTTATATGGGTCAAAATATGTGATTAGTCCCTATACTTTAACAAAACTTGAGATTTTGTTTGTACACTGAAAACAAGTTTAAAAAATAATTTCTCACACATTTTTTTATTTAAAATTTTAAAGAATCTCTATAAGTTATGTTTAATTAGTTGATAATAATTTACCTTTAAGACGGGTATGATTATATGGGTATACTTGCCGATGGATATGGGTGGGGTTATATTGGGCTTCTGGTTAATTTAATTCGATTTAAATATATATATATATATTTATTTATTTATTTATTTAAAATCCGATTTAATCAAATTTAAATAGGTTTTATCCGATTTGAAATTCAAACCGTTTAAGAATAAAATTCGCTCATGACACTGACACTATTTGATATATATATATATATATGTATTATTTTTATTCGATAAAATAGGGATTTAATTGAAAATATATAAAGAGATATTATTACAATTATTTTTAAATATATATAAGGGATAATTACACTATTATATCATGTCGAGTCGAAGATTTTTTATCTTAAACTCGAACCCAACCGATCTTATCTTCTAAAAAAATATGCTCAGTCCCAAGCTCATTTTAAAAAAAATTAATCCTATAAAATCGAATCGAAACTAGTGGATCTGAATCTCATATCCACCCTTAAATACACTTATGGTAAATTTCAATAAAAAGTAGTCAAATTTTTTTCACTACCGCTACTCATTTAATACGAAATCTCGAATATGATCAATTTGAATGAATATAGGACCAAATCTCGAATTTTATTAAAGTATACGAACTTATGATTTATAATTTATGCATTAAATGAATAGCGGGAGGAAAAGAAGGAACGTTATGTACATACATACACATGAATAAACATGAGATTCTGATTGTTTTTTACTCTAATTAATTATAATAACATCTATTACATCCGATTAATACTGTACAACCAAAAACACATCCGAAGACTATACTTTTTTTTCAGATTTTTAACGCAAAACAGTATCTTCATCTTCTACCTCGAGCTCGTGAAGATTTCCTTGAGTTGAACGTAAAGTAGACGATGGAGAGAAAGAAGAAACAGCTGAAGAATAAGAGGTGGAATCAGAGGAAGAAGAAGAAGAAGAAGTAATGGCCAAGAGCAGATCAATGAAAGCACTAATAATAAACCCATGGTTGTTCTTCCCATTGACCTTCAAATACCATCCCAGCAGCTCTTCCAACTGTTCCCACTTTTTCATCCCATGCGTATCCACCATCTCCTCCATCGATCGCCGGAAATCCACGTACGGGTCGTCGGATTCCATCGCCAAAACAACACTCTCCTCGAATGGAAACGAAGCTGCTTCACCGGTTTTAGCCTCTTCGAGGATCGAGCTCGTGTCACCGCCTGGCTCAAAGAACAGCCTCTCGGATCGAGCTCCACGGACCACCACTTCCAACGACTCTCCCCCTCGATCCGACTCGGTGGAGAAACTCGCCGATTCAGAAGAGTCCGTGAACCATGACTCGGGCGTTTCGACACCACCACCGCCGCTGCTGGGGTCAAAGAACATCGAGTTTACAGTCTTGAACACGTCGTCTCCGGCTCGGAAAGAAAGGGTTTTGGGGTGCTTGCATGAAGGCCATTGCCATGGTTGTTTGGAGGTTGGTTCTCTGGCCTTGAACAAAGCAGGCAGCTTCATGTTCTTTTTCTTATTCTTCTTCCTCTTGTGGTTCGGGAGAGATTTGGTTTATGGTTTGGGTAATAATAAATATTGGAGCAGAGGGAGTTGAAGCAATGGTCTTTAAAGAAGAGGTGAGAAGGTAAGGGAGGGGAAGATGGAAAGGAAATGGGGTGGGTAGGGTCTGTCATGTTTGTATTAAATTTTAGGGTTTGAGAAATTCAATGGATTTTAAATTTATTGTCAACTATACACACAAGTATTTGTCCTCAACTTACCAATTTATTGTCAATTATATTATAATATATTTCTAATAAATAAATTTAAAACTATTATCTCATACATTAGTATTGAAAAAAATACTTTAAGCTGTACTAATGTCACATGTCTTATTTAAGATTTAAAATTATAGTATGAATTAAGTGATTTTAGTGATAAAAGGATAGTTATAATCTCCGTAGGTCACAAGTTAAAGCATGATGTCTACAAGGTATTTAAACTTTTATTGTCAAATGAGTATTATTTTTGTTTTTTTATGATGTTATACAAAATTATATGTTGTCAATTTTAACTTAAACTCACTCAACTTGATTCAAATAAATAAATTAACAATTTAAACCTAAAAATAATTCGAACTCAAAATTATCCAAATTCCTAAAACAACCTAAATTCAAAATACCTATATTTGAAATGATATTAAAATTTTAAAACTCGAATCGAATTAATTTAAAAATTATAGATGTATCAAAACATACTTAAATTTATTATACAATTTAAATATGATTCCAAATTATAAATTTTAATTTTATAATTTAAATATATTGGTAAAAATATCGTTTTAATCTTAATTAATATAAAAATTTTGTTTTGATCTGGAACAATTCTTCCCTTTTATTTTTATATAAAAAATCATTATTCTTTTATTTTTATATATGAAAATATCTATTCTTTTTGTATACCCTAATCTATATTATATAATACATAAAGTTGCTTCCTTTATGTTGTAGCCAAGGGGCACATCTCGTACTATAAAAAGGGTTTTTCTTTGTCTTCCACTAGTAGAAAAGGACAATTTATTGGTACAAAACGACGTTTAATTATTAAATAAAATTAATGACATGTTTTTTAAATAAAAATATAAATAATGACATGTTTAATTATATATATATATATATTATGAGGCGATACAAGCATTTAATTAATTAATAACATTTTAACCCTTCATTAATTTTGAGTAAAACTGTTTGAAAAAATTCTCAAAATGTCATATAACTAAAATTCTATATATATTTTTGATACATTTTAAATTATTTATAATTCATTGAATCTCGAATTAATTAAAATAAAAATATTACATGTTTAAATATCAAATTATAATATTTATATTGCCACAACAACAGTAATAATTAAACTAAAGTTAAAAAGAATTGTTATGGTATAATTTAATTTAACATAAAAAGTTTCAACTCAAATATTCCTTTAGAATTTGATATAATTTTGGGATGGATCATGTTTGGTAGGATTTTTGGTCGATCCAAGTATTATATTTTTCATCTGACACTCGATTCGATTCAGATTTACGAAAATTTCATTTGATTGAAATTTAGGGTAAAAACTCAACCTGACTATAAAAAAATGTCATATGTGTTCGATAAAATAATTAAAGATCTATTTGAAAAACATAGAGAAATGGTATTATAATAGTTATCTCCAAATGTATAAAAAAAATATATTATTATTCTAAGTTCGAATCATGTATTTTTCATCACAAATCTACATCCAATCTCATTTTTATAAAACTCAACCCGAACTCGAATTAAAAAAATCATCTTATAAGGTTTAAATCATCTTATAATATTTCTGAAATTGAGGCAATGGATGATTGGGATATTGCTGTTGGAAGGAAAATACATGGATCCTCGATGAGAGACAAAGTTCATGTGACTTAATAAAGGAGCAATGGTTGTATCACACAAAGTTGACCTTTACAATAAATGAAGATTGAGACATGAGAGAGATAATCAAGAAAGATAATAATATGTTTTACCATTTTACTTCCAAAATTTACCCTCCTATAAGGTTTAATTATGTATTTGACTTTACATATATACTTTTTTTTTATTAATATAAGACGGTAACAAGATAACATTTGTTTTTAAAGATTATTAACAATTTGACAATAAAAGTTTAAATATCCTTGCGGTCTCCGGTACTCGAACCTAAGATCTTTAGAGATAATAATAATATCTTTAACTACTAAAGTAGCTTGATTCGTACACTACTTAACATCTATACTTGATTTTTACAACATTGTTTAGATGATCTGACATGATACTTTAAAATTATTTTGAAAAGCAAATTTTTTGAAAGAACGGGTAAAGTACACAAATGGTCCTTTGACTATAAGATGCTTCTTTTGTTGAGTCTTTCGATCATTAAAAGTTACAAAATGGTTCTTCAATTATAGGCATTGTATTGATGGGTTCTCGAACTATTAAAAGTTACAAATAGTCATCTGACTATTCATCAAACTCATCCATTTCTACTAAAAGATTAACGGTTGTCTGAGTTGGACGTTAAACTGGTAATTGAGATATGATAAAAATCATATTTTAATGATGTTTACTGGTACTTTCATTGCTTTCGAGCACTGGCTCGACACCATAATGTTTCGATTTACAAAATACAACTCAAACAATTCTGGGATCAAATTTTATCATATCTCAGTCAACAGGTTAACATCTAACTCAAACGACCACCAATTTTTTAATAGAAAATGATGAGTTTGGAACATATGAATAGTCGAGTGATCATTTTGTAACTTTTAACAGTCAGAAGACTCAATAAAGCAACATCCTATAATAGAAGATTATTTTATAACTTTTAATAGCAAGGAACTCAACAAAAAAACGTTGTATAGTCGGGAGATCAATTGTGTTCTTTACCCTAAAAGAATTTCAGATATTTAAATAAAAATTTAAAAGGATTAGAGATGTTTTTTATTTTTCAAAAAAATATTTTTCATTTCATATTTTCTAAGATTTGAAAAATACGCTTATGAATAGAAATAAAAATTTATTTTATTTTTTTAATAATATAAATATTATTTATAAAAAATAAAAGTTATGTTTATATGGATTCGAATCGTGGTCATAAATTCAATATATATAAACTGTTGAAAAAATGTTTTTGTGTGTATACAGACTTTAACTCGGATCTACTCATTAAATTTAAAAAATGTTGTTTTCAGTTTTTGAATTTTACAAAACATTTTTAGTGAAACTTTTTTTGTCATTTTATAATTTTCACATATTTAAAATTTTATATTTACAAAATCATTTTTTAAATAACTAAACATATTTTCTCTAATATTTTGAATTTTCTAAAAAAATAAAACGTAAAATAACTTTTGTTTTCTGAAACCAAACAAAGTAATAGATTTTTCTGAGAAATTACTATTATATATTATAACTTTTCTATATTTTCTTATTATTTAGATTATATATAAATATATATATATATATATATTGTAAAAATCAGATGATATAGTACAATCTTAGAGCATCACTGCATTATATATTGACGACATACTAACATAGGACAAAAGGTATTAGAATGAAAGTTTAGGTACCAATACGAGAGTAAATGCTAAGTTGAGGGATCAAGTATAGAATTAAGCCAACATATAAATATTATGCAAAATGGGGCTCAACCTTTGGACCATTACATTTATATGTCCTAATTACTCCCCCCATGTGAGCAATGTGCGCTTCTCGCACGTATGGACCATTGAACAGATACAACTGTTCAATTCAATTGAAGAAATAATTAGAATAAGCTAATAAATTTATGGGTACATTACTCATTTAGTCATTAAAGTACGAGGCCAGTTCTATTTTAGCCACTAAACAAATTTCAGCAGTGGAGTTAAAATAGAACTTTATGAGGCTTGAACATGAGTTTACCTTATTTCAAATTAATAAAGTAAAATAAATCAAAACACATTAATTGTTTGAAATCTAGTTTGATTTTGAAAAAAATCCATATGCAAACGATACATTATCCGGATATAACATGATCGTAACCTCTTGTATTCACATTAAAACTAACCGAGACAAAAGGACATGTAGGGGCATTAACCCCTATTAAATGGTCAAATTATTCTTTAGTCACCCATGAATACTAACAATATAATTTGAGTCTTGTAACACTTTTACGAAATGAGAAAATTATTTTTTACACTTTCTAAAAGCAATTATTTAATTTACCATTTTAAAATGAAAAATTCAATTTTAACTCGTAAAATTTATAATTTTATCTCAAACTTTTCTACATAATATCTAACTTCGTTCCTGAAATTATATATATATATATATATATGGATAAACATATAAATTTATACTAGAAGTATAAACTTTTAAAAAAATATATTAAAATTTAGAAATACGAAATTAAATTATCAATAAAAATATAAAAAAAATATCTAAATTATATTAGAATATAATTTTTTTTTAAAGATATAAACTTTCCCTACGTTCCCTCGGCTCTCTCTATATATATACATTATAAGATAATGAAGTGAGTTGTCATTAGATTAGACTGCCTGCTCTGAGTGTATAATGTTACAGTTGAAAAGAAAAATAAATGTTGGAACTGAATTGGTTTGTCACAATGTCTCGATTCTACCACATTCATACAACAACAACAAAACCTTATTCACATATGCAATGGGATAAGGGGAGGTAGCGTAGTAGGTTGTTCCCAACGCCAGGTTGAGAACAGCTTCCGTGGAAAACCTCCGGCAGTCAGAAAATAAAAAATAAAGATAAAATACAATGCATGTATAAATAAATAAATAAATAAATAAATAAATAAATAAATACATAATTGAACATTCATCATTGTCTTAACACCACATGCTCAGTTGACTCTCTATTATTATTAGGTTAAACTATATTACTGAGCATTTCATTATGAGATAATTTTAATTTAATAATCGATTTTTTTAAATTAGATCATTTAATTAATTAAATAATATCAAATAAACCACTTATCATTAACATTTAATAGAAAGATTGGCTTGATTGTTAAAATAATTAGCACTGTTATACAGTTAGTCTCGGTTACTTACATATTATATTAATT